AGAAAATGCTGGTTACAAAGTGGGACTGACAGATCTGTCTCCTTTTAGCAGGCCAGCTGCTTCAGCAAAGTATCTCTAAATGCAGAATAGCACATAAAATTCTACTACTAGAAATGGCAGTCCCAGAGATTTTCTATATAGAATGACGATGAAGTGAACTTAAGGAAGGCTCTTTGTCCTACGGATCCTTGGTGAATAGATGGGTGACAGAGGAAAGCAATATTGTGGCAGAGCAGCAGCCATACGATAATTATAACCAACCATTCCTGTCGTTAGGCATTCTGGGGTCCAAGATCAGTGTTCTTTCTCCCAAATTTTGATATGATCTAATAAGCTCAGTAAGATCAGGAAACTCACACCAAAGCAAACCATAAAGTATTCATATATTACTCCTTTCTTATTTACCCATTTTCAAGTTAGTGCATTTAACACTGAAAACAAATCAAAAAAAAAGATACAGTAAAAAAAAAAGAGTTCAGTTACAGTGAAAAGTTATCATATATTCTTTCTTTGTGCTTTCTTGTCCAAAAGCAGTTTGGTCTTGCTATTTCTAAAGCCTTATTATTCAAGGTCAGGCCATATAAGAAAATCAGGTGCTAAGCATTTCAAGTTGTCTGCAGTGTTTTGCCTTTTTCCTCCCACTAAATAGCATCCTAATTTTATTCCAAAGAATTTATTTTACAAAAAAATGGAACTTGAAGAGGATCTTTTCAATTATTTGGGTCACAAAACCTTAAGTAAAATTGTTCCTGGAATACTGACTTTTAAATATAAAATATAAACCTAACCATATTCATCAGGGTCACCAAATCTTCCAATTTTATTGAGTTTCAAAACATCTAGTGTTATTCTGAATGTCCCAGCTTGTGAAAAATGCCAGTTTCCATTTAAAGAAAATACCAGAGTTCTCATGGCTCTAAAAAGATCTAGAAACCTTGACTTCTAGCAATTAAAAGAAGAAAATATATGAAAAAAACTAATATTATAAAGTCTGACTCACAGAAGCTCTATACCTACTCTTGAAAAGACATTTCAATGAACCAGTTTGTCTTTAGAAGGTTATTGGTCTTGCATTGTACTGAATATCTTTCAGCATTTTCCGGATACAGATCAAATTTTGGCCTACGTAATTCCTGATGAAGACAGAGTCAGTAATTTCTCAATTTATAATTTCTGAATTTGATTACTATAAATCATGGATTTATGACAAATGAGATAAACATTCCCAAAATACCTTTTGGCAAAATGTTTTTGGACTACAGTTTTGACAGATTTCTATTTATCTGCAAAATTGTCATTCAGTCTATAGTATATTGAGACATCATTTAGATTCTTTTGCTTTAAACAAAAATGATCTGACATGCAGCTATTTCCATTTGTTTAGGTCATGCATATTGACCTACAATTACAATTTTGGCTCAGAAACTTAAATACAAGCAACTCCCAGCAATCTGTATTCTTCAGTATAACAGTTTTAGAGCTTTTTATTCATTCACCTACAAGATATGCAATAGAAGTCTGCAATTCCCCATTTCAAACCATGTCTGCTTTTAAGGACTGTATTAACAGAATTACTTTATAAAAGCTCAGATCAAGGGCTTGGATTTGTTTCTAACAAAATATTTATCTGATTTCTCAAAACACAATACAATAAAATTGAAAAGCTTCAGTAAGTTTCTGAAGTTGCCCTATGACTCTATTACAATGAGGCCACAATTCCCAGGGGCGTAATGTTAACAGTGTGAGCTAATAAGGAAGATGCTCAAATTGAATGGGCTACACAAGCCAATACTACAAACTGTTTTCACTTCTACATGAAGAAGCTTGCAAGAATTTATAGGCTGGATAGAAAGCATTTACAGGAAAAGAAACAAAAGGAGCAAATGATTAACAGCATACTTCATTTTTATTTTTGTGATACAGAGAATCAAAGAGCAAGTGATGATAATCTGAGGAAACGCTATTTTCCTAGCGTGTCAAAAGTATGATTTCTATTTAAAAAGTGYAAGTTATACCTTGTGGTACCTTCCAAACTCGCAAAAGTAGCATTATAAAGGTGAAGTGCTGCTGTGTCAAATTAGGCCACACGTTTTTGTTGTTCAGCTAACGGCTACGTGGGAGAGGGTGTGACTTTTTGCCAATATCGCTGTGCTAGGACAACCCCTAGTGTGGACACCGCTTACTGCTATGGAGGCTTTAAGCCACTAGCACCTGACAAGCTTGTCCCTAAGAAGGAAAAGCATCAGCTAAAGGACTGTTATTGCAGCACAGCCCTATCCACAACGGGAGAGCTAGGAGAGGGGGGAGAAATGAAATAAAATGGGCAAGGAGGTTGTGCCACCTTGTAGTAGCCTGGGCCAGATGAACAGATGCAGTTTTTGTGCGGAGAAGCTGTGTGCTGTACATCTTTTCTCTCTCCTCCATAATCCTAAGGCTAAGCAGGATCACGATGGATGATAGTACAAAATACTTATTCAATTTAAATGGTATCATTAGTCACTGCTTCTTGATTTTTAAGATATACCCATGTCAAACATTCATAGCAGGTAACTCATTGGTGCCAATATTTGTAATTATTCCCAACTGAGTAATAAAAAAGGAAAAGAGATGACAGAAAAATAATAAAAAAGCAGGAAGATATATATTCATTTAATTTTTAAAAATTATACAARTTTATTTTTGAAACATATCATAAATGCTGGTTTTTCCTAAAAGTATATGTACACAGACCAGATGATCCCAAAATATACCCAGAGATTTACCTATATTCTGATGCATGTAAATAACTTTTTTACCGTGATTTTAAAAATGGATTAAACTAAAACACTTGAAAACTACAATTTATCCACAAAATTTATCCACAGCAAAATTAAAAATACAGTCACTCCTCAAAAAACGTATTTTCAATTAACTAAAAGGCAATTTGAAACACAATACTTTTAATGAAGAAATAATTTAGTATTTAATATAGAACAATAACTCTGTTTAAACACTATTGTTCCTCTACTCTAAAAAATAAATATGTATTTATTATGAACAGATGGTGGCCAAGGAAGGTATCAACTCTGTTTCTTAGCCAGAAGGTCAGGTCATGGCTGAGAGACCAAAGAACAATTACTGTTTGCTATTCAGTGCCATATAAGATGAAACATTTTTTTTTTTTTTCTAAAATACAAAGCTAAGTATGATTAAGATAATTTCATTAAAAAAATGCAATCACTTGTTAAGACTTGCTCCTTTTAATTTTTCTTTTTTCTTTTCTTTTTTTTTAACATGTTAAATAATATTAGGAACCATAAAGAACTTTCTTATTAGCATGTATTCTGAATGTCGCAGTTATTGAATGGCTGCTAAATACTTGGTCTGAGTATTTCCAGATATTTTTTAAAGAAATCAATAGCCAYCTTTGAACAATTAATTACTTTAAGTAATTATTTAATCCCACTAATAATCTTTGCTRATAAGAACAACAGCCTGATCACCTCTCCTTAACTATGTCAAATTATAAATTACTCTATAAATTACCATGTTTTGGTGTATGCATTCCCACATTGAATAAAATACCAGTATGTCTATACATGAGGTTAAAATATTTAGTTAAATTTTGCAATTTGTTCAAGAGGCAATCCTGAAAAAAGTTGGAGAACAGGATTTAAAATCCAAGATACTTCTTCACATCCTGTTTTATTTGTATGCCAAGATTATGCCAACTCTTTTATCTGTGATATCTGTCAAGACACAGACGACAAGCCTGCTTTGTTTTTTAAAGTGTCCCTAGGCCTGAAGGAGGAAGGAGAAAAAAAAAAAAAAGAAAAAAGCCAGCTCCAAAAACAAAACACTTTTAAAGGCCCCTATTTGTCTGGGCTGTATGATCTCCACAATATATTAAGGAATTATTTTACCTAATAAACTTATAAACTTATTTTTTTTCCTTTTTTTCCTTTTTTCGATCAATGATTTCATCGATCATGATTTGAGTTAATTAAGAGCTTAGGTTGGAAGTGTGATGGCTAATAAGCTAGCCATCCTACAGGAAGAATTTTAGGTGCTGGTCAATACAACTTCAGAAATTCTGCATTTTTCTTTACATATGTTCTTATAGAGGACTGATTTGTACACTTATTTACTAGAACAGAAAATGTTTTAAAATCTATAGGCTAGGCTACTCTAATTACAAGGTGCATATAACAAAAATGATGCTTATGTGCACTGTACACATTTCTATGTGTATTCAGAAGACACGATTAGTTTCTTTTGAAAATCACACCCTATGAAGAGATAATTAAAAGTTTGAATAGAGGAAAAACTGACAGAGCCTTAACGAAAGTGCACTTCAAAAGATGTAGGTTACTACATCTGCTCAAGCTATTTGGCCAGTAAATTGCAAGTTACCCTGATAATCTTTTTATTGAGAGATATTATCTTACATGCCACCTGTAAGACATATACTCTTATGCTGCTCATATAGAACACAGTCTTAGATAATCAATAATTAATGCTTAGGGGAATTTTTACACAGTTATTCTTACTTTTTTTTTTAAACAAATAACTTTTTTTTTTTTATGAATTCCTGCATTCATTAATGTTGAATTTTTAAAGAAACAGCAAATGATAATCTTTTCTGACACAGTTAAGTTATATCGAGACTCCTTAATGTTTTGCCAGATTGTAGGTACTTTTTAATGTGTGGGTTTATTTGTGGAAAAAAAGGTGTATAGACATGTATACAGTACATAAATTTAAGYACATTCCTTGAATATACATATGATAGAGTAATTCTATATGAAAGCATGGGATGAGTATTATGTAAAACTGAACATACGAGGGCTGAAAACAAGAATAAGATACCGACGAGGCAATAGCTGGCTTGCTGCCATTAATTTAGAAACCGTTTAACACTAATAAATGACCACGATTAGAAAAACCAATCATTCCAACTTTCGAAACAACCCTACTTAGGCTTCTAATAACTGCAAAGTTATAGCAGTATTATCTCTTACCTGGTCCTTAATTTCAAGCTCCCTTATAGTTTTTGTTCTGTACTCTCTGAGCTCCTTTTCTGCCTCATCCTTCTTCATTTTGGTTTGATTCAACTGATAGCGCATTTCTCCACACACCTGTTAGATTATACAGACAACATGAGCTRTAGCTTGAAGAACCCATAGCCCAAGGTTTGCAATCAGATCTTTTGGTGCCCTCTAGAGGTCATTTAAATCCAACATATTTTAATTTAAAGATATTTTAAGACTACATATGGTAAATGTTTTTATATAAAAAGGTGGATCCGGGTTCCCTATATAGTCATTAACTTTGAAATATGCAGTGCCTTCTAGATTCAATGATATTTGGAACAAGATTTCGCTAAGTAAAATATTTATGTTGTAAATATATGTGCTACAAATACAGTTAAACTACAGTTGCTGGTTTTACATTCTTCTCTCATTCCCTTTAAAATCCCAGGAAAGTCTATGTCAACACTTTCACAATCTAGAAGGAAAGGATCTATCACATTCCTATTTAAGGGCATAGCTTGTCTTGCCAATTTTCCCTGGTAACACAGAAAGTGTTTAGATGTTAACGCAATAATTTTCAAAGTTAGATCAGAGCACTATATTCTTAATACAGTCTGAAGACATATTTTTTTTCTCTCACAGAAAACACTGAATTCCAATATATGCATAGGCCAGAAAAAAAGCGGTCACAACAGTATTTAAAGAAATTAAAGATCACTTCCACCAAAAATAAAAATAAAAATAAAAATAAAAATAAAAATAAAAATAAAAATAAAAATAAAAATAAAAATAAAAATAAAAATAAAAATAAAAATAAAAANAATAAAAATAAAAATAAAAATAAAAATAAAAATAAAAATAAAAATAAAAATAAAAATAAAAATAAAAATAAAAATAAAAATAAAAATAAAAATAATCTTTCTGTGCTGTGATGACAGCCAGCTCTTAGTTTGAGACGTAGAGAGACACAGAGACAAGTAAAAATGGAATAACCCCCCCTCCCACACAACTTTTGCTAATGATGTACTGGAATACCAGTTTTTCATTTCTCAATCTAAGCCTTTTAACAGATGATTTGATCGTATCTGCTGGGAACAGGAAAGTTAGTGGAAAAGCTGTCATCTTTTTGTCCTCATCCTCTGCAATCACCTCTAATTTCTGACTATTCATTTCATCTTATATATTAATCAAGCATAAACATACAGAAAAGATACTATTTTCCAAACCCTCTAAAAAGAAAAGTCACAKCTTCTCTTAGAGAACTTTCTTTCCAGCTCTCTCTCCTGTTTGCCCCACTTAAATGTTTAAGTACCAAACCTGTTTCCCAAATGTGCTTTTTGCACATTTGCACATGTGCTATGTGCTCTATGGGTGCTTTTAATTTGCTTCTATGTTCCATCTGTATTCCTCAATAATCTCTTTTCTCACACATTCAACATCCCAAATTCACATTATTTTTCAGGCTCCCACCTCTGCTCCTTTTCACATTTTTTTGAGAAAGGTGGGGTAAAGGGACAGAGATTACATCAAGAAAAAAAAAAATGTTGTAATTTTAATCAGCAGCATCACTTACAAATTCAAAGCATGGGAGGAAAGAGAACAGCCTGTGAATTCAGTCTTGTTTAAAGAATGGGAGGTAGTAAAGTGTTCAAACAAAGGAAAAGTTCTTAAAAAATCTAAAACAAACAGAAAACCTTGATACTAAAATATCAGTTTCAAAATATCAATTAAAAAACAAAACAACAAAAATGTAGGATGCAACTACATGGATTGCCAACTCTTTCTCTCCACTTTCTCCTTTCTTCGTGTGAAATGCCCTTTCCTCCAAGGGAAATGCAAAAACCACAGCCATCTTCTCTTTGCCTTTGGCTCCAGCACACACAGGGCGACTTGAGTAACACAGAGGAATCAGCAGATGGTGCTGTGCTAATAACTGATTTTTCAGGCACCTTGTATTTTAAAATACAGGACAAAATTATCTATTACCTCAAATATTTTTATCTGACTTCTGGTACATGCAGGAATAAAAGTATTTCAGACAAGCGTCAATTCGAAAAATATTGGTATTTACTGTTTTAAATAATGGCAGCATTTGGAAACACATATTTGGAAAGACAAGACAACTTGACTTACACAGCCAATAAAAACAGGCTATGGCAATACATTTAAATCTCGTAGCTCAACAGGTAGGACATTCCCCCAGGATATTGAGACCTCTCAGTTCAGAGCACAGACACAACCACAGCTTTCCAGCCTCTTGGGACAGTGTAGTAAAAATACAGCACAGACTACTATGAAGGGGTCACTCGATCTTTCCTATTAAAAGATTCATATTAGGTGATATTAATTGAAATAAGGACTGGAACGCTGGTGTCATCTCTCCGAGGAGATTTCTTCCAATCAGTAGGCTATGAAACTGCTCTTTCCAGCCCAATGGATATTTGTACCACTGTCCTTAAAAAATAAAGTAAAATAAAATAAAAAAATAAAAAAATAGTACTGCAGCACTATGAACCTAGCTTGAAAGAATAAAAAATTGAGACTTCAGAAACAGTTAAACAAATCTTTTAGATATTCCTAACTCACCTTTCAACTCCTCATGATAAACAAAACCAAGCTCAATACTTATATATAAATGCCTCTACCTTATTAATCTCCATTTCACGAGATGAAAACTGATGCTGTGTTTCTTCTAACTGGTTAGCTAGTGAGTTCTTCTCCCTTGTAATTCTCTCTACCTGGGATTCCAGCGTGGCCACATTCTCAGACATAGCTGTCACCTTGAAAGAAAAACAAAAACAAACAAACAAAATATTACAGTGAAGTTCAACCAACTACTAAACTAATCTTGTGGGACTTTCTCCTTGCAATTGCAGCTATGTATAAATAATATATCTTGAATTGCAAGGAATACATTATAAGCAAGAATATGGCAAAATGTGGCTAAATGATTGTAGAAGTAGATTGATTATTTTGTATTAATTTATCATACAGTAATTTATTTGAAACTCAGACTAGTCTCCAGGAATTGTTATCACAGACACAATTTCAGTAGTAGCAGGTTTACAGTAGCAAGAATACCAATTAACACTATCCATTATGCCTTCTGTGGGCTAATTTTGATAAAATTGTGTTTCCAGAATTACAAGCTTGCAACCACATTGCAACTGCTGATYTTAAATTAATTCTTAAGCTCAGACAATATTTCAGAACTGCAAATCAAAGCATGAAGCTGCACAACAAACATACTGGTGTAGCACATGAAAAATTCTAACACAGTTCAGATCAAATTTTGCTGGATAATGACAAAATATAACAATAAGACAGAGACATCCTGGGGCCATTTAGCCCTGAAGCTAACTAATATAAGTGGAAATAATGGCCTTTGACAGTTCTAGGTTAACTTATAGGAATTCAAATGGAAACATGGAAGATTATACATTCGTAAGTATTTTTCACCCATTCTACATGCACCTGATTTATGCATCATGCCAATTCRAACCTTCAAATGAATCACTCCATAAAATATTCACATGGAGATTAACTTAATGCACAGTACACAGTTTCTGCAGTGTGATYTTCCCCAAATTGTGGGTTAAGCTTAAGTAGATGGAGATCACATGTAAAAATTTATCATGTCTGCAAAGTCATCCCATACTCGTTCCTATTTACCAGGTATGACATTATCATGCTATTACCACTAAAGACTGCTTACACTCTATGTCAGTTTTGAAAAGATAAAAGACTAAATCCTGCAAGATGGAATCAGTTCCAATAAACTACAAGGCCATGGGTGATGGAATACAGAGCGATGTGGTGACAAAAAGAAGTGAACTTCATGCTGTAATAATGAAAGATATGAGATACGTCTAAATAGTCCATATTCTGGAATACATACTCTTCTGTAAAGTAAATCCATAATTAAAYAATGAACCTTGTAAGAAATACAACTTCCAACATATTAGAATTATTTGAACAAGGAATGCTTAATATATCCTGATGTTTTCAGGTCAGTGTTAATCTTCTATTTCAGTTTGTCCCGGCAATGGATTTTTGATGACCACTTGAAACAATTCACTTAAATGAGTGTAATATCACTTGCTTAATCTCTCTCACTCTACTTAATTCCTGTTTTGTTATCTGGAATTGCAGCCAAAGGTTTTGATCTCCCATATACCACAGCAGCTTTCAAAAGTTGCCATCCACTATCTCTACCAAAGCATCTCCTCTATCTTGAGCAGTTAAATCATTTGCCTTGTCTAGTGACTTTTCAGCTCATGCTCTCCACRTTTTCGAAACTACAGAGTCCATTTCTAAAAGGAGACAATTAAAATAACTAAGAAAAAAGCCATACAGTCAGAGAAATTCACTTTGTTTCCACCAAAATATGGTTAATTAAGTTGCACCTCAGGCATGAGAAACTATTTCATGGAGCTTTTATCTCTCTATGCTTTTTCCTACTTTTTTCTCTAATCATTATGTAAGTACCTTCTCTGACAACATCTCACAGGTTTCTTGTGTTAATATAAAGTTTCCTTGGTACCCTCCCCCTGGACAAAAGAGCTTTATGTTTTAGATACTCATATTACATTAGAATTTAGAAGCCTAAATAAACATAGTTATCAGGACTGTGTTGTAATTTCCACGATACAAGCGCCGAGATAAACTCTGTAAGACAGAATCTAAAAAGTTAATACAGTACATTTCTACTGGTCAGCAAATGAAGCATGTGAGTAGACCATAACTGAAAAAATATTATATAATATATAAATTATATAAAATGTATAACAACATAATATTTAGTGTCAAAGTTATAGAGTCCTAATTTTGGCATGCGCTGATTTCTGAATGCTTTACTTGGCAACCTACAAAATATGCTTTGGAAGAAGCTATGTAAGAATATTGTATCATATATTGCTTAGTTCTTCGTCATTTTGAAAAAGTACACTAGAAAATACTATGCTAACTAAAAAGAAAGTGCATTACTGAAAAACAACTAAGTGGATTAAAAACTGTGTCATAGATGACACAGCATAAAAGCCTATAACCACAGTCATTCAGATTAAGGATCACTTAGTCATGCACCAGTGCTTTAAGGCCAAGACGAAAGTTATTACTGAGCTATGCAAGCCAAAAATGAAATGTCTGCTAGAAAGGTCAGCTAGGAGAGACTTTGAAGAAGACTGAACAATCTTCATAACACACAAACTGAAAAGAACTCTTACCATGGCTGTCAAGTCCTCCCTTTCTTTCTTCATTTCTTCCCGCACGGCTTCTTTTTCATCATTCCTCTTATCTAGCTGGGCAACTAATTCCCTTTCAAGACGATTCTTCTGTCGTTCCATCTCACTTTTCAGCTGCTCACACTGGACTAAAGCCTAGAAAAACATCTTTATTTTTTAAGTGAAAGAAATCTAAAGTTTTAAACAAATATGACATTTACCTAACACTTTCAAGGAAAGTGCATTTACTCATGCACTCTGTGTTACCATCTAGACTAGAACTAACAAAACGATAGTACTTGGGTCTGCTTGTATACACATAGTTGTCCGACTTATTTATAATGCTATTGCATTTAGAAGTCATGAAGACAAAATGATATGCAGAGTACATTTCCCAAATGAATAGCAGTTCTTCTAAACTAACCCAATTATCTGACTTGCATTTAAAACGCACACATCACTCAAGAGTGAGTCTCCGTATTTGGCTCCTTGCAAACAGTTAAGACCAAGCTCACTGGTCCACCTTGGTGGAGGGAAATGGGACAAGCTGAGGTGGGGTTATGCATTCCTACTTGCTCTCCCTTGTAACGAATTACCAAGTGCAAAAGATAAGAAAACACCTGGAATAATTGTGTAAAGGTACAAAGACATAATTCTTTTGATTTTCAGGTTTTGATTTATCTTCTAAACAAACTAGAAAAATCTGTCAATTTATGCTGATGTCTCCCTGTCACAAGGATAAAACTAAGTGTCAATCTAAATGAGAAATATATTGCTTTCTTAAAAGAGAACCAAAGTACCCCAAAGGCAGCTTGCTAGCCATAAGTAAACTGGATTTCACTAGTATTTATTACATCCCGTGATAAAGRAAGCTAAAGTAACCTCTGTTTAGGAATACTACCTTATTTCTCCTTAAATTAGTTTTTTGAAACTAATGTTTCATATCTGGGCCGTTCAAAGGGGAAACTGATTAAACCGTCATTTTTACATGGGAGGGAAAGGATTGTTTATAGTTTTCTAAAGAAATACCTGTACTTGTAAGAAAGCTTCATTCATGCAGGAGAAGTAAAAGATTTTTTCCCCTTTTCATAAAAGAAGCAGCTTTTGAACATGGAAACTGGTCACAATCTRGACTTGTATACAGGACTTCATATCTCTTTGCTGCACTGAGGAGTGTGGCTAATAGAGACCCTACTGAGTGGCTTTCTTTTTATGACAGAATATAAAGAGTATAGCAATGAATTCCCATCTCATTAAAGGTTGATTTCTCTAAGTAAGTTTTATTACTAGGCCATTATTCTGATATGATCTGTACTGAATATGGCTTTGAATGGATTTTTTTWAATATTATAATTACAATTTCCAACAGCAAGATGTGGCAGAGAAGATGATAGATACCTTCATTTTATTGCATGGATCAAAAAATGGGGTATTGAGCAGTTTTAAGTGACGGCAAGCTAATAACATCAAATATCTAAAAAAAGTAAACTTAATAAAGCTATATAAAAATTTAATCATGCAGAATGAAACACATAACTACAAGTAAATAGTGAGTTCTGAAGGAGTCTTTATCTCTCTTTTAAAAAAAAGTTCTAGTTAAAAAAGTTCTGAAGTTAAAGTTAATAAGTATATAGAATTTTGAGTTCTTTCATATTTTTCCCATAAAAAGACTACAGTCAAACACACTTGCTTATRGAATTGCATAAATAGTACTTACTACTGCTGCTTAATGAGACCAGAAGACAACTATTTTATTAAAAACACTGTCGTTTCATTAAAAATAAGTTCTCTGATTCCACTGTAACTTCACAAGTTATACAGTAGATGTCACTAAATATCAAGAAAATAATTCAGCTCCCTATCAGTAGATTATGTACAGTAATTAGAGCTAATACAACCATTAGATCAAAAGTGATTTTATCATTATTATTTACATGGTACCCAAACGTTTCATATAGATAACATTCATACAGCAGTTATCTTCAAGGAGTTAAGTTAGCTAATTAATCCTTGGACAGCAGTCTTTTGAAGAAAAAAATTGCAGACATTTTTAAGTATTCTTTCAGGAGCAGCTCAGTAACATAATCGTCTACATGTCACGAATATCTTTCAAAATTCTACCTTTAGTTTTTTATCATCTGTGAATCTTTATCAAAATTTAAACGATGGCCTGAGGATACAGCACACATCATACAGCCTCAGATTATAATTTAAAAACCCAAGTGTTCACAGTGTTCATTTAATGTTTTCTCATGTAACTGCTTAGAGGAATTACCCACAACGCTCTCTGAACACTCCTTTCTTTTGAATTTACAACAGTGCAGCAGCATGTGGTAAAGGTCTCACAAATGTATTGTCTCATGAGCACGAGTATTAAGTAATATTATAGTAGTTCTGAATATCGAAAAGCTTTCACATGATAAATTTACCTTTGTTTTTTCCAAATTTGCCTCCTCTGCCATTTGCACAGCTTGCTTTACTTGTTCATAAGCATTAGCCTCTCTTTGCTGCAAGTCTCTCAGGTTCCGTCTCACTGAAACAAGGGCATCCATTAAATCATCTCTTTCTCTGCATATAAAAAAAGAAAAATGTTTCTTTTGTATCTTTCTACAGGAGAAAAACAGGTATATAAATTATAAAAATAATTAACAAACACAGGTGGTAAGGTAAGACAGCATGAGTTAAATTTGAAATTCAAAGTACTTCTAAAAAGTCTGCTTGGCAGATACTGTGGGGAGAAACAGTTAATGTAAAATAGAGAGGGGRAAAAAATCTTACAGACTAAGTGTTTAGAAAAGTGTTTACTTATCTGGACAAATGAAAAATCAACAACCCTTTGACTACTTCAAATAAACTACTGAGAATAAACTAAATAAGGCTTATATAGTCTACACTCCCCCTCAATTAAATAACTAAAATTAAATATATAAAATAACATTTTATCTTTTAATTGTTTCACATGCGGAAAACTTAAGAATATTAAGATGGTATAATTGTCTCAATCTGCAAATAATTTTATCATTCAAATCAAATTTCACCCTGAAAATATTCTAATTCAGTGGAGCAGCACATCCGGAACCAAACCCACTGATCCAAGTAAATCCAAGGAAATAAAAGAGGAGGGCATTGTTTGTTTGTTTCTAAAAGTCCCCAAAGAGAAGGAAAATAAAGCAAAATTCTAAAAACTCTCAACTACAGAAAGATAGAGAATTTCTGTAGAAAATGATTGACTGAAATACATGGTTTCTCATGTGCTTGTCCTGACAGTGAGGGGTTTTCTTGCAGAAAAAGCTCTGGAAACACAGGCTGTCAACATACCAGTAATCTGAAGAGCCTTAGGTACCATAATTACAGAACATGATTTTCTTTCCCTGTTGAAAGAAGCAGCAAACTACTAAGGTTTTCAAAATGCCAAGGAACTAATCCCATAGTCTGCCATGGACATGAGTGTTATAACAACTCAGGGCTCAATTGTTCTGTAAAAACCCATCTCYATTAATGCAACCAGATGCTACTAAAAGTTGGCAGAGTTTCATGCAAGCAACTGTGCCTTACATTAGGAAGAAAATACTCCCCCAAACTTACTTTGTTAGCCTCTCGATGGTCTGCATGTGAACATTAGAATGAGTCTGTGCAAGAACAGCCTCGTGTTGTGCACATTTCAGACACAGACCACCAACCCGAGTGGCATTTGTGGTTGAAGTGAGTGACTTCTGGTGTTTTAGTCTTCCTTCCAAGTCTTGGCAGGTCTTCTGAGATTCTGAAAGATCTTTTCTAGAAAAAAAGAATCAAAAATGCCATTTGAACAGCAATCAAACATTTCTACAGGTTATATTTATAGGTAATATACTACTACAGATATGACATAATAACAGTAAGAATCCTTCTAMTATATATTTTGTATTGTTGTGTGTTTTACAGATGTCAACAATATAAGAAAGATCTTCACAGAGAAATAATAATTGAACAAACCAAAATTAAGACAGAATGATACTAATTTGTTCTTTCCTTCTGTAAACTCAGAAAATAGTTGTTATTCGGAAAATTACGCGATAAAACAGAGTTTTCCATATTGTTTTAACTGAGTAATAAGTCTAATATCAAGAAACACTATCAGCAGTGTAAACACATCGATATTCTAAGAAAATAAACGTTTGCTGTCTTACCATCAGCACCTCCACATGTATTGTCTACTTTCAAATTAACTGTAAATTGCCAGCATAAAAGCCCCATATGCTTCCTCAAAAAAATCCAGATGTATTTAGCACACTTGCTCTGAGCCAGCAATACATATAAATTTCATATCAATCACTTCTTCAGAAAAACACGTTGTTTTTTTCCTTAATTTCTCCTGTTTTTGTCTTCTTCTTCTCACCAGGTGCTCTGAAGCAGTTTCTCCAAAATTTCCAAGCATCTGACAGCCCCGGCAGAGCACAAGCAGAAGGAACGCTGACATCAGGAAGTTCCAGACAAATGCACACTGTGCACATATAGATCAATTTGACAAATTGTGCAATGAGTCCAAAGCTTTGGGTTTGTTATGCAGGCCATCTGGGCAGCTTACATATAGTAAGTCTGACACATTCTGGTTCCATTGCATTCACCGTGCACATGATATATACACTGCATGCATGTACATTTCCATCTGGGAAGTCTTCTGTGAGCCTTTTCCCATTTTGGTAGTAATTCTATTAAACATATTACATACTATAAGCTGAAAAGAATTTGCTCCATATAGTTTCTTAGATGGTTAGGGTAAAACAGACCTATTGCTTGGAAATCTTAGGCAGAGATCAACAAGTCCAATGTAAGCTTATGCTTTAATTTAAAAGCGTTGAAAGCACTAGAATTTCTGACTTGAATAAAATTTGGCAAATGTAGAAGTTGTTTTTCTGAGCTTAGACTCATAAAGTCCCTCTGGAGAAAGCAAGAAGAGGTAGTATACAAGTTTATCTTGCACTTTTAGCAAAGATAGAAGTTTACTCCAGAATAACAAAGTACTAAGGTGACTCCCTATAGCTCTGGTTCTCCATAGCCTGCTCTCTCTATTCAAATGGCTGATACTTTGATGAGTATATAAGGACTTATTTTCAGGTATTCCTGTGTGTGAAGGAATATACGTTACGTGAAGGAATATACGTTACGTGAAGGAATATACGTTACGTGAAGGAATATACGTTACGTGAAGGAATATACGTTAC